TGCATAGTTGGGGGAGGGGTGATGCATTTCTATTGTTCACTTTTTAAAATTTTCAGTTTTTTTAACTATAAACAAGTGCTGGAAAGGGTTTGAACTACTTAACTAGCCTCTCCACAGACAGCAGGAAACACTCACCAAACACCTTGGCCGACTATTGCTTTTCATTTGGACAATCTAAAATTTATTCTTATTGGAGGCTTCGCATTTGATCGAGTGTTGAAGAGGACGTCAACAGAAGTTCCGATTCAGTAAATGGCTTATATGAGACGGTGTTCGACTCGGATCAGCAAAACCGATGAATACATGGCCGGACATACGTGCGAATTGAGTTAGAACGGCGGAAACCGATGGAAAACCTCTCGAGGCAGGATCAATACCGCAAGGATGGCGTGGACTAGCTGTAGTTCAAACCTGACGGCCACTACATAGAAGAGATTGTATCTGAATCAGAAAATACCTACCACACTCAAATCCGAGATCGATAGTACGCAGCAACGACCGAGGAGCTGAAAGGAACTACGCTCACCTGAACCTACAGTAAAGAACTACGCTAGGCAACCCTTGTTGGTGGAGCCAATCGAGGCAGTCGGCATCATGGTTGTTTGAAATTGAAATCGGCTGGCTGGGTAATAGTAAAATCAGTAGGGCGAAGGATCAATACCGGTGTAAGACTCAAAAAGTGGTTGTAAGACCCTTTTTGCTGAATTGAGAAGGGGATGGTGGAGGTGCAAGCTCTGCCCTTCTATACTATCAGATAACAAGACCCACCAAGCTTAGCTTGGAAAGTTTTAATCAAGTGATAGGGTAAAGTTCAGGATTGAGTTGTGTGATGAAGAGTTGTTGATGTGGGTTGGTTGGCGCTTTAAAGTGTTTGTGTAAAGGTGGTCAAATATTCCTTGAGTGTTACTTGACTGAGGATTAAACAACTGGGAGGAGAGCCTCCTTATATACACAACAGTGAGGGAATTTAGCTCCAGGGCAGCCAGTAATGAGTGATTTTGGCTGGCCTGGGCTATTACATGAGGTATTTTTAGCTACATACAAAATTTGAATGAGTGAATGTGATTGGTCAGACATGTACAAGAGTTGAAGTGGTGATCCAAGCAGCTGAATGAGTGATTCTGATTGGTCAGGTTCTGATGTGTTTACAAGTGAGTGTGGTGGTGTAAGCTGCAGCTGTCATGCATGGAAAATACACTAATTTAGGCTGCAGGTATGATGTAATATGTAGAAGTGAAATGTAAAAGAGTGTAGATGTATGTAAATGAGTGTATATGTAAATGAGTGTGTACTGTACTGAGGGTGTCTGTGTAGCTTGAGGGTTGTAATTGGGTTTGGTGATATGTAATGATGGGTGAAATCCTTGTGATATGTTGTCCAGTGTTGGGTAAGAGTTGATCCAGGTGTGTTCCAGTGACGCCTCCGTGGTGACCAAGGGTGGATTTATCCGTAGAGTCCAGTTCTTGAGCCGTATGGTGTAATTTCTGAGAGTGATTGGGTGATAATATGAAGAAAATATATATAAAAGAAAAGAAAGAAAAAAACTTTTAATTTTCACATTTTTGACTACCACAGCCTCCCCCAACTTATTGTCTGTCCCCAGACAATTTATCAGGAAAAAATGGGAAGAAAATAGAGAAAGAGTTAATTTTTAAACATGAAATTAAGTGAAAAGGGTAGTGGGTATTTGGAGGAAAAAGCTTGAAAAAAATGAGTGTGGCTGGAAAAAGAGTGTGATAGCCTCCCCCAACTTTGCAGTGGAGCCAAGCTGGGGTAGCCGTATTTGTGATTTTTAAACTTAAACTTAATTTTTACAGCTGATTTAACAGGTTTCCCCTGTGAATGTTAGCCTCAGGGTCCCTGTGTACCCCCCTTCTACCCAAAGTGCACAGGTGGGGGGGGCATTTTTATTTATTTTTATTTTTATGTTATTTTTTTTTTTTTCTACATACAAATTTTTATTTTGCTGCGCGCTGTGCGCAGCCTTTGGGCGTCTGGGTGACCTCGTTGTTGGCGCGGAGTCGCTGGGGGTGCTGAATTAGCTGGGAAGCCCCTTGGGAGGGGCCCAAGGGGTTTCCTGACCGTTCGGGGTTCGAGTTTTGAGTCGGGTTGCGCGAGGTTGAAAAAAAACTGCGGCCGCAGTCGAGAGCGCGGTTTCGCGGGTGCCTCGTTCCGTGTGCGCCATTCCGGTCCGGACTAGGATATCCTGGGCCCTGGGGAGCAGGTAGGTCCTGTAAACCAGCCGGTCTACATTTCCTCAGTCCCCACCGCCACCATCCTTCGCCGTTCTTCTCGCCTTCGATCGGATTTTCCACGCCTTCCATTCGTGCTCGGTCTCGGTAAGTGATCTGTTCTTCTCTCTGTGTTCCTTTTACATTACACTAATCAAAGAAAACAAAAAAACCTTCTGTCCTGGCCAACCCCAAAAGAAAGTACGTGGGTCGATGACAGGTCTTCCAATCGTACGAGCTCTGGCTGGCCTTGGTCCACCAGCCAGAGCTGGATCCTGCGTTCTGATTGGTCGTGTCGTGGATAGAGGTAAGAGCACACCACTCATCCTCAGATCCTGTCATTTGATTGGCCAGAATCGGATCTGGCTTCCTTTGAGCGAGGTACACATCGAGTCTTTGCGCGTGTTTCCGCTTGCCTGTGGGTCCGTTGGCCCTTCCTTGTCTGAAGGTCCCTGTAGGGTAGGTATCCGCATTGGTAAGTTCTTGCGGTTGGGATTTTGCTGTCCTGTGGGCCAGCCATCTTACCCCGCCAGTCAGTCATGCCCCTTTTCAACAAACACACGCCCGGCCCTCGAGCCAGCAATCCTTACCCCCTCCGTTCCAGGGTGAACCATCCGGCCCCTTCTAGTCCTTTAGAGAGAGTAAGCCGCCGTTCTTACTTGTATTTGATAATACCCGTCGCCGGGCTTTCTTTCTCACGGGCTGGTAACATATTTCTACAGGGTCGAGTCCTAGGCTCGCCTATTCAATTGGACTCTCGAGAGTCCTCACGACCTCCGATTCTGAACGCATCGCCGATCGCGCCGCCATCTTCGGTCAGGGTAAGAGATTTCTTTTAGCTTTTAGATGCGGTCTGTTGACGTATAGCTAACGGTCCTTGTGTTATTTCTGTGTTTCTAGGGCCAGCCAGCTGGCTCCCCCATTGAGGTCGATGATCAAGGGTCTGCCCAGCCCCGGTTGGCCGATCCGAGCACGATCGCGCGGCCGGTTTCTCCCAAGGCCACCCGTGCCTCTAGAGCCGCTCGGGTGCCTCCAGGGTTGGTGGGGCTCCTCCCTCAAGATCAAGGTGCCGCCTCACCGCCCTACCAGCACTGTCCCACCCCGCTCCTGGACCCGAATCCGATGTTTCAGCCGCAGGTTACGCCCGAGTGGCGTCGTCCAGCTTCGAACAGCCGAGGTTCCTCGGGTTCTCCAGTGGCTCGTTGTCCTTTCGAGGTCGCAGAATCGTCGGTAGGTCATTCTTCTATTCACATTCTGTACACATTCTTGATACATTTAGCTAATGAGTGTGGGTTTTATTTTTGTTTTCTGCCTCTAGCTTCTGAGCTCAAATCGCGCTGTCATTGATGAGCCCTGGACGCTACCGCCGGCTCCGCGTCCACGAAACCTGAGTACTCCCAGCGATGTTCGATCCGCTGACGACGTTGACCAACCTACCTTGACCTCAGCCTCTCAAGAAGAGTCTGCAGTCTCAGCTGAAGACTCTTTCGAGTCTTCTTCCAGTCGGCACACTGCCTCCAGTAACCAATCCTATCCGTTTGCGCGTCAGCCCCGTGTCGCCTCGCCCGATCCTCCTGGGTTCTACGACGTCGACGAGTTTCATCTCCTCCGGGATCATCAGATCGATTCCCTCCTCAGTCGTCGAGCGGATCCGGCTAGGTTTGATCGGTACGCCTTTTGCCCTCGAGAGTTTACGGCCTTCTACCAGTCGGCCGCTAGTGGGTTTGTAGCCTATTGTAACGCGGAGCGTCCTTCTTGTCCTCGCGATCAAGCTCACCGGGTTAGTCACTTCAAGTTTCTTAACCGGAGTTACATGTCGCTTAGGCGACACTTCCGTCACTTGGGTGAGTGTTTTTTGATTTTATTTCTTTTCACGGCCTATATACTAATTGTTTTGATCTTTTAATTGTTTTTGTTTTTGATCCTAGATTAAGTTCTTCCTGGTTTGAGTACTGTCTGTAAAGGGGTAAAATTTTCCTAAAGCCAAAAAAATCGTTAGATAATTTTTATAACACCAAAAAATTTTATAATCTACAAAATCCAAAAAACTATTCTCTTGTTAGTTCATTTTAGTTTACTTGCTTCTTGATTCTTTTTCTTTTTCAATACTATCCCAAACCCCTCCCCCAACTTTACAGGTTGTCCTCAACCTGAGATGAGTGGCCAAACCTATAACTGAGTGAGAGATTAAGGTGAGCTGAAAAAAAATGGAAGAATACAGAGAAAAGTTTGTCCAAAAAGAATTTTTCAGGAGAGAAAAGTTGGAAGAATTGTGAGTATTCAAAAGATAGTCTTAAGAAGGAGAAAATGTAAAAGGGAAGGGTAAGAGTAAGAATAAGGTTTTTGAAGGATGATATGAGTAGTAGAGTTCTTAAGTTAAGGTTTTTTTGGTTTATTGGTTATGAAGAGAAAGCAAGAAATGTGGTGGAATTGAAGTTATGGGATAAATAAATAAGAGGTTCATGGAAGGAGGGTGCTAGTAAAGAGTGACATATAAAAGAATGTGAGTCCTCCCCCAACTTAGAAAATTAATCATCCACCTGATTTTTGAAAGAATTTTGAGCTGAATTTTTGTAATTTGATGTGTGTTGTGAACAGTTTAGTCTCATGCCCAGGAGGTACGATTATTCTGATGCCACCGAGGAGTGTTCTTCCGAGTCGTCTTCTGAAGCATCTTCCTGGTCCGGGTCCTCATCGTCTTGAATATCATGAAAGTCACGTCCTCGTGGGTAAAACCGTTTGATGTGTGAGGCAGCATAAGCCCTTTTCAACTCCACTCCGTCCAGTTCTTCTAGAATATAAGAGCCTTTAGGAAGTTGTTTCTTGATGCGAAAAGGTCCATTCCAACGGTGAGCAAAAAGTTTCCCCCACTGGTCTTCCAGACTTTTATTGTAAGCCAGAACCAGTTCTCCGGGGTCCAGAGGATTCCTGAGTCTTGCTGCCATTCGCCGGTCCCAGTATCTGACTGACGATTCTCGAGTTTTCATTAGTTTTTCATGGGCCAGTGTTAAGATCTCGTCCCTTCGTTCCAGTTGTTTTGTTCGAGCCTCAAGCAGTTCTTCAGTTGTGTTCACTTCTGTCCAGTCAATTCCAAGATAGGTGTCCATCTCAATATCCACTGGTAAAACCGCTTTCTTCCCAAAGACAATCTCATACGGTGAGTATCCAGTTGATCTTTTTGTCGAAATTCTGTCAGAAAAAAGTACTAATGGTAAATATTCTCTCCATTTTCCGCCGGATTCACCACACATCTTGATCAGTGTATCTTTGATTGGCCGGTGACCTCGTTCAATCATTCCATTCGCCTCGGGATAGTATGGTGTTGGTGGTCGCAGAGTGGCACCAATCTTTTCCACAGCTTCAATAAATTCACTCTTAAATTCTGGTCCATTGTCAGCAGTTACAGTCCTAATTGAACCATATCTGTAGACCCACTCTTCCAAAAGAAATTTACTGATATTAGCTGCAGATAATTTTACCAAGGGTGCTGCCTCTACCCATCCAGATAATTCGTCACGTGCCACCAGCAGGTATTTATATCGTCCGGCCTTGATATGACAAACATCCAACGCTACCCGTCCAAATAGACTACTTTCGCCAGTTGGATTTCGAATTTCTCTGGGCACTAGAGCATCCCTCTTTTGACAAGGTTCACAACTCTGCACCCATAACTTGACCTTCTTTTTCAGGCTGGGCCACCAAAATTGACAAACCAAGCGTTGATATGTTTCCTCAAGTCCCCTGTGGCCAAGATCCTCGTGAAACTTCCTTAATAGTCTGCTTTGGTACGTTATGTTGGAGATGACTAGTTGTGCCATGGGCGTATGTCGTCGCATGAGTTGATCCTCTTGAATAAAGAAATTGGCTGATTTTCTTCTTAACTTTTGAAAATCCTCTGGGTCCATTCCTTCTGGCTTCTTCAGGGTCCCAAGATATTCCTTAAGGTCCTTCCAAAACCCTGGTGATTCCCATTCCATTAACTTTGTTGATTGTGAGGTTATCGTGTACTGAAAGCATGCTTTGATGACAGGGTCGTCTTCGTCAAAGTCGGCTGCGTCTTCGTAGAATTCCTCCTCATCGTCGCTGATGGGTCGCCTGGATAAAGCATCTGGTAACGTGAAGGTTTTTCCAGGTTTATGTACCATGTCAAATGAGAAAAGCTGAATGAACGCCACCCATCTGGTCATTGGTGCATTTGGTAATGATGGAGAATTGATCATCTGAATTAAGGATTGTGCGTCTACTTGAAGCTTGAAGTGTTGGCCCCATAGAAGAGTTTGTAATTTCTTCAGAATCCTGGATACCCCGCAGAGTTCAAGTTTAGGCTGAGAATACGATGATTCGACGGGTGAAAAGACTATGGATTCGTAGAGAACTGGTCGTGCTAATCCTGTTTCCAGTTCTTCCTGTGATAGTACTGCCCCGGCCGCAATAAAACTAGAATCCACGGCCAAAATAATTAACCCTGCATCTTTGGAGTAATCTAGCTTTTTTAAGGTGATATCTTCCCCGACTATTTGCTTTAGCTTGTGAAAGGCATCGTCGCATTCTTGGTCCCACTCCCATTCAGAGTCCTTCCTTGTGAGTCTTCTGAGAGGTGCGGCAATTTCGGAGAGGTTTTTGATGAAAATTCTGACGTAAACTAGTATCCCCATGAATCCTCGTAATTCCGTAAGTGAGTTTGGGGTTGGCCAGGTTGTGATCTTGTTCTTTTTCTGAGCTGAAACCCGCCGTCCTTCTTTACAGACCACGTGACCTACAATATCCAGAGCTGGGACACAGCAGGCAAACTTTTTCCCGGAGATAGTGAGTCCGGCTTCTTCAATCCTGAATAATACCCGTTCTAGTGTCTGAGCATATTCCCAGATGAACCGCCGAATTCCTGGGTTTTCGTCCAAGCTTTTGTTATCGTAATCTGAGCTTGGTCCTTTTATTCCTCCATTGTCAATGAATACCCCTACGTTGTCAGGTATTTCATCCTGGAGTATCCACATCATTTGCGCCTGGTATACTGCTACAGAATTAGTGGCCCCCTGAGGTAAGCGTGTGAGCTGAAACCTTCCAAGAGGGGTATCAAAGGTTGTCAGTGGTCGGGATTCTTTCGCTAATTCTCGTTCGTCATATCCTCCCATGATATCACCTAATCCGTAGCAAGCACGTCCTGCAAAGGCTTCTACAAATTCCTCAGTTGCTGGAGGAAGGCCTGCGTCCTTAATGGTAACTTTATTCATTTCTTGTAAGTCATGAACAATTCGTAGCTTTCCATCGTGTTTTGCTACGCAGAATACTGGACTCAAGTAACTCGATGTTGATTGTTCGTAAAGACCCGTCCAAATCCGTTCTCGAACTAGTTCCACGTACTCGTTTTTTATTGCTGCTGGGATAGGAATAGGTTTCTTCTGCCAAGGTATGTGATCCACTACCGGTATGACATAGGGTAACCCATAGGAGTGCTTCAGTAGTCCACGCTCTTCCATGCAGAATGCTAAAGCCTTTTCGCGTAGAACAATCAGATGTTTGAATAGCTTGAGTTCTTCTTTCCAGAGCCATCCTTCCGGTCCAAAATTAACAACCTTTAACCGTGCTTCAGTGATTTTATTTGTAGGTGTAAATTCTGGTGGATGTGGCGTTAGCGGGGTTTTATATGGATCTCGAGACAGAGGTGGTCGCTTTAGGGGTGGATTTAGTAGTTGTGGAATGGATTGATTAATTGGTCGAACTTTCTTCCCAACGGGTTTGTAGTTTGTCATACACCACAAGTTCCCTTCCTTCCAATTCTGACATAAATGCTTCTGGAATGTCCACCCAAGTCCTATTCCCAGCAGGTCGTGGATATTCTTGGTTGGTACCGTTGGCATAACTGGCTCTTTCGTTATTTGTTTGGCCAGATTCGATTGTATTACTGCTCCTGTGTATTGTGAGCAGGTGAGTTCCTCTTCTCGTTTTTTCTCGTTTTCGTGTTCCTTTTTACCTGTTTTACATAATTTTAAAATTGAGTCTGAGAGTTGAGTGAAAATTACCTTTGAAAAAAATTGCATCAGCTTAAAAAATGTTTTTGTTAGTTTTGTAGTTTCTTGTAAGATAATAAAAAGAAAAAATAATAGCCAGTCAAAGAACACCGGCGCCCAGAATTCAACTCTCTTGACTAGCTTAAGTGAGTTATTCCTCAATTGGACGCCGGCCCTCATAAAAAATGCTGCACTATACCCTTTTTGAACATTCGATCCTCGTCGCTTGGCGGTATCTCGTTGTCCTGTAACTTCGCACTGTTGGTACTGAGATCCTTCCTGTTGTTCCAGCCTCTTCCTTGGCCGGTTCTTGCTAATGGTACTGATACTCTACGCCCCTTGGTTCCTTGGAAAGATAGGGTTTCACCATTTTCGTGATATTCTAGAGTACACCCATAGTCGAATAAGAATGGTTGTCCCAAAATACAGTCCTGAGCCTTGGGTGAAACAAACAGATGTGCTGGTCCGGAGAATCTTCCAATTCCAATTGGGCAATTTTCGACTACTCCATTTAAGTCACATCTTGCTCCCCCAACTCCTTTCATTGGTATATCTACTTGTACTAGTTCCAAATCCAGGTCTTCTGCTACTGATCGAGGCATAACGTTTACCATGGATCCTGAATCTACCATAAATTCCACGCTAGCTCCCCCAACTTCGGCTGTTACGTATCCTAGGGCGCAGCTGTAATAGCAAGGGTCCGAGGGGTCATCTATTTCTGGAGTGGTCATAGCTGCTGAAACTTTGGTGGCTTCTGTAGTGATGTAGGTTGCACTGCTCTTCCCTGGGAGTCGATTCTGAAGTTTGGCAATTATTTGTTCCGTATAGGTTGGCGAGATAGCCGTGAGTTGAGCAAAAGTTGTTGGAATCTTGAGATGATCCAATTCTTGCAACAGGGCTTCTTCTGGTGTTGCAGCCTTCATTT